ATTCTTTGATAACAAAGGTATTATCCACAAAGAGTTTGTTCCAACTGGTCAAACAATTACTGGTACATTATCTCGAAATTTTAAAGCGATTGATGGGCAGAATTCATCGTATTCGCCCCGAATATCGTGATCCAGAAAATTGATCTTTGTTGCATGATAATGCACCGAGTCACACTTCATTGATTGTCCGTCAATGTTTGGCTCGAAATCGTGTCTCTGTGTTAAACCATCCACCGTATTCACCTGATTTGGCCCCCTGCGACTTCTCATTATTCCCTAAATTGAAATTGAAATTGAAAGGACGCTTTTTTGATGACATTCCGACCAGCTTCTACACAGGCACTAGAGGCAATTCCGCAAACTGAGCTAGAACATGCATTTGAATCACTATTGAATCGCTGTAACAAGTGTATTGAAGCCAGAGAATATTTTGAATAATAAAACCAAAAAATATGCATATTGTTGTTTTAATTATGATTTTCAGGCCCTGTCCGGGAACATATTTGTCGCACTGTGTATGTACTTGTATGTAACCGAAGATTAGAGATTTAGAGATTCCGTCGATAGATTCAATTCAATATTTTCGTTAAAATAAGTAAATGCGATAAGTAAAACAATGCGAAAAAAAAAAGTGAGGTTCTGATGAAGCGCGAGGATAGTTCTCACCTTGATTGTATAACTGTAACTGTAGCTGTAACTGTAACTAACTGACTGTAACTAGCTAACCGACTGACTGACTGTTGAGTTTTAACAATTTGTAGTAATAAAAATTCGGTTTTCCTTAATATCCTTTATGCGAATTCACTACATTCATATGTTTAAAATTAATTTAACTTTATTAGAAAAAAAAAGGGAAAAAAAAGATATTCGTTCTCGCATTCAGGAAGATTTCTATTTTACTGCTAATTACTTAATCGTTAAACGCTAATATAATATACATTATTATTAATGTTAATGTTTTACGCTTTTGTTATTTTATAGGAGGGCTTCTTTGAGAAAGATCGTGTGATATTCTTAGACATTCTTTAGAATAATCTGTAGATAATTTGTATGACGCATAAAAGTATATAACGATAATATAATCTATGTTGGTTTGAATGTTTAAATAAAGAAACTGAATATATTCTCTTGTAAAAGAGAAAAGCAATTTTCGGTTTTGAAATAAAGATAAAATAGGGAAATATTAACCTAGCGAGATAAAAAATAAGGTATAAATCGTATATCTATGATAAAGAATAAGATTTTATCGGGATGTAACAATTATCAAATTTCTCTAAATTATATTTATATATTATCAAATGTGCAAGTAATATAACTTATAAAAGAAATTTCTCTTTCATTTCATTCTTAATCTAGTAATGAAAAAAGTATATTCAACGCAACACTAACTGCTCGTTCGAAGTATATGATTTTTTTTTAACTCTTAATTCTCGCAATTTTCTCTGAAAGTGGAAAACAGAATCGCGCGTATACTATTCAGACAATAAAATTTGCGTTAAAATTCATAACGCTGCGTTTACTGATTAGAATTAGAATGCGGAGGACTATACAAAATTACTGAAACGAAAGAGAAATTTCTATAAGTGTTTACTTCTTTAACTTTTTGTAGTAACATTTGAATGGACAAGGTAACGCAATTATGAATTGTATTTTTTACTTAATTTGGTATGGGATTTAAGTTGGAACTGTTGATATCAAATCTTTTATACAAATGATACATATCATTAGAGTTAAGTAACAAAAGATAGTACTACTTGCGTTTTATTTTTTAATTTAACTCGAGTTAAGATTATAGCATCTGGATTTTAATTTTTCATTCGATATATTATTTTTTTTCAAGTAGTAATTTTTGACAAAGAATTAAAGTTGCTATTACTTGGGTTGAAATAAAAATTAAAAAAACCTTCAATAAGAATTTTTGAAGAAAAATTAAAACTACTATTAATTGGGTTGGATACTTAGATTTTATTCGAGAAGCACATTTTCTTAGCGCCTTTTTTACCTTTTTTAAAAAGGTAATTTTTGTACTGATTCTACTAAACGGCAAACACGATTAGTCAGTTCCACGGCCAATTAAGTAATTGTAATTAATGAAACCGGCTCAAATGATTCTTTACGAAAAGCATACATTCTTAGCGCTTTTTTAACCTTTTTTTTTAAAAAGCTAAGTTTGTATAAATAACAAGAGAGAGAGAGAGACAGAACCATTTGTGTTTTACTTTTTAATTTGATACAATTGATTAGTTAAGATTGTAGCATCAGAGTTTTAATTTTTCATTTGATACATTAATTTTTTTCGAAGAGTAATAATTTTTGACAGAGAATGAAAATTGCAATTACTTGGATTGGAATCAGAAGATCTTCAATAAGAATATCCTTTAAAAAAAATGGTAACTAGTATTAATTAAGTACTTAGTAGAATTTAACTTGATTAGTTAAGATTGTAACATTTGGATTTTAATCTTTCATTTGATGTATTAATTTTTTTCGGAGAATAATAATTTTTGACAGATTTAAATAACCAAAATATATATAGATACGTCTATGCTTACTTAAGGTAGCACAAAGAAATTATTGTACTTAATACAGCTGTGTCCAGCTGTCTACAACAAAATACTTTTTCGTTTTCGTATATCAAAAGAAAATTATTAGACAAGTATTAAGACGAGTATTCTTTTTGGTCTACATGGTAATTAAACCGATTAATAACAATCAAATGTGTTTTTTGAATTAACTAAATATAAGTTACTATCGTATTTTTGGACTTTAATGTTCAAGTTGCTATTTTATTTGCGTTTTTTCAATTATAAAAAAATATTTTAGTCAACATCGATGTGGAGCTTGTTGGGCAATATCCCATAACGAACCTTATAAACTCAACTGCTTAAATGAAATCTGTCTTTATCGATGTTTTTTATTCTATTTTAATGATTAAACATATATTTTATGTTTAATTATTATTATAAAGAGTAAAGACATAATTTTTCTAATTTTGTTAATTAAAGCATTTAAAACGAGATTATTACAAATTATTGTACTTAAGATAAAAATAATAAAAATTTGATTAATATGTACACATAATCTTTTAATATTTTTAATAATATATAATCTCATTAAACGAGATTATCTTCATAGCTCAACTTATCCGTCAAGGATGCTCAACATGACCCATAGGTGAGGCATATTGATCCACTTTACATCCTTGTAATTAACGTAATTTTTTTATTTACGAGATATATTAAGGATTATAAGTACTTAATTATTGAGCCAGATGCACATGCAATGTTTGAAAGCATTTATCATTAATCTATCGTAATTGTGTGAAGATTTATAATAACTTAAAGAAAAAGTGTCACAACACTAGCCCCGCTCTATTTGTTTTATGTTTTCCAAATGTTAATTAATTTTAATTTATTAGGAACAGCGTTATACATTTTATTGATTAACTAATTAAATGTGCGAAGTTAATTAAAGTATGTATCTTTCAAAATTTATTCAAAGTAATATCATAAGAATAACATTATGGCTTTTATAATAGGTAATAAATAGCATTAGATTTCATGGAAAAAATCAATGTTATGCTCAGTTGAGATTAAATGTATCCGCGAATGTTTATTTAACCATTATGTTATAACGATACTTTTATTACGTAAATTTATTATTAAAATGTTTAAAAACTTGTCAAATCTTATATAATGACCATTCTTGAAAAGATTTATTTGTTTTTAATATCGAAATAAAATATAAAATAGTATACACATATGTCTATATACAAAAAGTGTTATTATTTATAATATAATTTAACTATTTTTATATTGTTAAACATTTAATTTTCATTAATTTTTATTGTAATTTTACTTATCATTGATTTTTAACTGTTACTAATTTTAAATAAACTTGAATATGTTAAAACTACATCATGTCCACCCACAATTAGACTAGAACTAGATGTGGATCATCAATTATAAATTCGTTATATATATTACAATATGCTTGAGCAAATTATTTTTATTATTCTTCTGAAATGTAGTAACGCTACCAAAAAGGATAAAGCATTTGGTGAATTAATACATGAATAGTGTTGCGAGGGAGGGAAAGAACCCAAGAAAAAAACTTGGGAAAGAACAGGAACGAAAAGCATTTCTTCCCACGCTTTGAAGAAAAGAACCCATGGCCACTATATTTTCTTTACATATGACGACATTGGCGACAATGGCGAGACTATCAGTTAATATGAATCAACGCGTATCAGTTATCTTAACTATTTATAGTACCTATACTTATATCTATGGCTTATAGTTGTAACATATCTTCAAGTGTTAACTAGTAAAGTTTTATTTTTAATTCTTCGTTTATTTTATGTTGCTCTTTGTTTCATACAAACTTAACGTATGTATGTACATATTATGTAAAAGAAAGTTTTTTTATAATTTTATTTAATATAGCAACTTATTTCTTTAATTAATCTATACTGTAAAAGCATGTACTATTATTATTTGTGCCTCTTTTTTATTATAAGTTATATATATATCTGTTATATTTTGTATTTTTTAACATTCTATTCAAGAAATTAATATCAGATGCCACCTTCTAAGGTTAAAGTATAGATTTATTTTGTGTGTGCTAGTATATCAAAATGGCAGTAGCTTCGCCAGTATATAGCAAGAGGGAACACAAAGCAAAATAAATTCTATCAAATCTTACAAACTCTTTCATTACAAAACACATTGATTGAGTACTTGCCTAAAATATATCTTTTTATGCGATATTTGAAATCTAGTGCGATAGGCTTGTCGCATGCAATACCAATAGTAAATACCTCTCATAAATGAAAAAAAGTTTTTAAGTACGTCTTGATTTAACTGTTTGGTGATAATGTATTGCATCTTAACATTGTTGTTGGAATACATTTTCTTATTTGGTAAAAATTGTTGTAAAGAACAGTTACTTAACGATAATGCCTTTTTGAAATGTAATTAAACTTTTGTGTCTTCCAATTGCCATGTCATTCATTAGTTCGGTCATTTCTTATAAAACGCCATCTGGTTTTTCTAAATTAACCTCGTAAACATTCTTGCCGTTTGTCACATATATTACTAGCATTAAACATTTTCAGCCAGTCGTTAAACAAGATAATGCGCGCTGCTTCCTTCCAGTCAAAATTGTTAAAGTAGTTTTTTGTCCAAATCATTCAATGGAAGCTGTTTCGTTCAGAAAGTAATTGTATAATATAAAGTATAATAGGAAGAACTTTTTCTCTTTCATAGCCTTGAACGTGAAGATGATATTGGAAAATGTTGTAAGAAACTTTTACATTTTTTGCACAAATATTTAAGATTTATTCGATATATTTCTTATCCATGCGATGCCTCCGCACACCCATTATCTCCTCTGAACCCATTATCAATAAAGTGATTTCTTGCTAACTCGAGCAAGTGTGGCATATCTGCAAACATAGAAACCTTTAATTTTTTGTCGAGAGAATGCTGAAAATAATTAAAGAGCAGACTTTCAAAATGCGTTTTATCCAAAATTTATAATTTTCAGAAAACAACAAAGAAAGTCACAAGAAAACTGCATGCCTTTACACAAAAAAAAAACGCCAATTAATAAGACATGAAAATGTTCAACAAAATTGTTAAACAATTGCTAAAACTATTAAACAAATACACATTTTGTTTATCTCTAGTTACAAGACATAATGCACTTCGAATGTAAAAATTTTTTTCAGCACAAATTAATGGTGTGTAGAAATACTTTTAGATCATAGAGTAACTTAAAATATGAGCCTGTCAACACTGAACACTATGCCATCTTTAATTTAAAAAACTGAAATTTTGGACAAAATCCATTTTGAAAGTCTGTTCCTTAATTGTTTTCGGGGGCAACTAATTTTCATTCAGACTACAGAGCGATATTCGTTAAACCCAAAAAAGATTAGATAGAGTGGAAGATCCTTATGAGATCGTAATACATTTTCGCGTATACTAGCAATACTATGAGTCTGATGCTGCATTTATCAATAATAATAGCGATGAAAAAATTAACGAAGACAAACGGAATTCGATATCCTTCATTTTCATACCTAAAGTTACACGGCCACGAATACTTCATTACAACTAATATTCTGTTCTGTCTATATAAAATAAAAATGAAATTAGGAACGTAATTGTGCATCGGACTATGATGGAATCAGAAAAGTGAAGCATTGCGCATGATAAAGTGGAGATGAACAAATTTCGAACAATCTAACTCTATCGGTATTGCATGTTATTATATTTTCTCCAATATAGTTTAATAGTTTAATCAATTAAACTCTATTGCTTTTTATTTTTGTCTATGGCGTATGCTTCACCTTTCTGCTTTCATCATGCATCGAACTTGACAGATGACTCTCGTCATGATATATGAACCTTCCGCTCTATCTAATTCTTTTTAGTTGAACTCATATCATGCCAATAGCAATAGGGTAATCTATATTATACAATCATGAAATAATGCACAAAGGTATTTTTAATCATCATTCATAATCATATTATAATTATAGTAATTGGTTGTTTTTATTTAGAAAATATATTATGGACCATTACACACTGGTACAACTTGTGTGAGCCAACAATTTTCTGCAGTTTTCGATCGATAACAATTTTATTATATAAATAGATTTCGTCAAATGTGATTACAACTAGTCATTTATGCGTTTGCATGCTTTTTTCTTTACATTTCATGCAGGTAAGGATTGTATCTAACATGCCAGAATTTATGTTGGTATTACATGCTCACCTTCTTAGCATTGAAAAAACAGGGAGAAGCATTTTCACACTTCTCATGTACCGGTAAGCTTTGGGACTGATGCATCGTAAAGACATAGCGCTTGCTATATCTTCTGAAAATCAGTTTATGCGTGTCACATTAAGATTCAATAATATTCGTATTTGACGCGACGTGAAAACTTTACCTAAAGATTTGTGTACATTTTGACTTCACACATTTCAATGTACCAAGACAAGTTTTGTTCTTGCCGCTTCAATTTTTTCTTTACTGCAACCACTTGCAATTTAAGATTCTCGCTGAAAGCAAATAAAATGCTGCAAATTCAGTAAATACTAGAGAGTAATAATAGAAATGTAACTTCACCTCTATTCAATTTCTCTTGTAGTTTGAATTTTGCAAGTTTCTTCTTCCAATTCTTGTTGTAAGTTTTTTCTGAAAACATGCAATAAAAATGATATTCTGAATATCATACATATGTGTACACACACTTAATAAACATTGCCGAACAATGAAGGAAAAGAATAATTGGACAAAAGGTCCTTACTTTTTTATATTCATATTTCATTATAACATATATTTTTATATTTCTTTACATTCAGTACTATGAATTTTATTTTATTATAATATGTACACATGTATACACTATTGTATTTTTTAAATTTATATTTTTATATTTCTTTATTTATATATACATTTTGTTTTATTATAAGATGTTTATATTTATTTACATTACAAAAAAGGTCTATTTCAAACTCTAAAATGACAATACACTTTTGTTCTCTAATAATCATTCCTCTTTTATAATAAATATTATGATTTAGGTTTTCTTTACAAAAGAATCTGTAAATAACAAAATTTGAAAATACGAGTAAAATTTAATAGTTATATTCATGTTTGAACATTAGAGTGATCTAGAAAGTTTATTACTTACATGGAGTCAATATCTTTATTTGAGCTATGGAGATTTGTTATAGATGATGCACTTGGTGTTACATATAAAGTATTGTCCATATTATATACATCCATAATACTCTTTGATGCATCTACAATTTCTTTTGATGCGACATCGATGTGTGTCACAGTTGACATTTTTTTAGACACATCAGCAAAATTCATTGGTACATTTTTTATAACTGTACATGAAGGAACCATTTCTTCCAATTCAATATGCATTGGAACATTCGATACTTCTTGAACAACTGTACCAACACAATCCATTGACATTATTCGCTACTGCAAATGAAGGCACTTCTTGTGATATAACATTGATGTGCGTAGAGGCATTCACTTTTCCAGGCATATTGGTATTATCGATTGGCACATTTGTGATTATTTTAAACGCATCAATGTAATCCCTCCTTCATCAAAATGATTAAGCATTGTGTATTTTTCAAATATGAGTCATTAAATAAATGCAACATGGGAATTATATTATTGTTCAGCTTATGAACTTTCAAAGAGTACCTCGGCAGTTGCAATCGAAAGATGTTTTAAAACATGATGGTTCAAAATGTATTGAACATCCTAAATAAAATAGTATGTTTAAGTTATTGTTCATCAGATTATTAAATATTTTCCAATTTTTATTCCTATTAAGAAAAAGGAGTAATGCATATTCACACTTGCAACTTCGTCGAAATTAACTTTTACAACATAACTTTATAACCTATAAATCTGTGCATTCGATTATACAAAATAATTATTTTTCTTATTAATTATTTTCGAGACAATTTATTGTTTAAACTTTGAAATACAATAAACAACAATGAGTATGAAATTATAAATAAATTAAGAAACAAAATTTATTGTCATTTTCTTATACTTTATGTATTAATATATAATACAAAGTACAATGAATGGGAAAGAGCAATTTTTTGCATATCTCAAAGATACTAAATTTGCCATAACACCGACTCGATTGTATATTATTTTCTTATCTTTGGTAATGGAAATATCTTGATTTGTACAAACTTCATATCACTTCATGCAAACAGCTTTGTCTTTTGGAAATGAAAAATATTTCACAATTTCGAATGAGATTTTTCGTTTTCCTAAAATAGTTTTTATAGCCTTTCACTGCCCACCTTATTTTTAAAGCATGATTATATTTTTGATGTAATAAACACCTACTACTTTTACGTGCTCGCCGCTGCCGTGACAGGCCTAGAGCATATAGACATGCTCTAAGATAACAGGTCGTGATTTGCGGCCATATTGCACATAAATGTGACGTATCATGATAGAAATATATTAGGTATGCGCGTTTTCGAGACGAATTTCGTACCGTTCTGCGCATAACCAGATGCGGCCATTTTAAACATTTGCATCGTGGTAACTTTGAAGTGACACGCAAAGTGACATTTCACGAAAATGAATACGTGTCAAATAAAAACGTACACAAATAATTTTATAAAAAAAAAAGAATACGGAAATTTGCATTTCTTTCGATTTCCGAAGGATTAAACATTAATATTAAAATGGCAAGAAGCTTGTGGAACAAACAATGTATGTGTTAATGTTAAAAATGTAAAAAATATATAATAATAATAGATTAAAATTTATAATAAATAAATAAATTAATGTTAATGCTAATTATTAATTAATCGTAGGGAGCCAACACAGATTGTTGATGTGTAGGAATATCATGTATTCAGAAATGAAATAAAAATTACAGACGTTTCAACCCTTATTATTAAGTCATCTTCAATGTAGATTTAAAAAAATTCAATTGTGAAAATTAAAACATGTAATGTTGAGTATTCAGTTAAATACGACAGATAACTTTTATATTTTATCTATTGACGAAATAGTAAGCGATGATGATATGTTTTAATTTTCACAATTGAATTTTTTTCGTCATATAAAAGTTTCAAATTTGCACATTTAAAATAAGTAGCTAGCAAATAAAAAAACTTCAAAGAATACTATGCCTGTAGAAATGAGCTGGTTGAAGAGCCCTCAAATGCTAAAAAGTAACATGGTTTCTTCTATGCATACATACAGTATAGCTGTCAAAGAATAGATTAATGAGGTCAATTAAAATTGAAGAAGAAGGAAGAATAGATTGGATCATATTAGCATTGTCTATTTATTTTGCAGAAATACCAGCATGTTATGTAAAATATTGTATTAGTCTTACAAAAAAAAAAGAAAAATGTTAAATTTTTTCGATTTCCTAAGGACGAAATTATTCGTTAGCAATGGCTTCAAGCCAGTTAAAGAACAGAAACAGATATAAAAGTTGATGCGGGTAAAGTTAATATAATTAATTAAACATTTGTTAGTTGCAATATGTATGTATACATTACGGATAAAAAATTTTTTTAAACGTTCAAAAATATTTTAGAGATTACAAACTTTGAGTGTCAAAATACTTTTTTAATATAATAGAATAATATACACATTGTGACCGCACGAGCGTGGTGCAACTTCATCATGCGTTTGCGATTAACATTTTATATGGTTTTCGTAAATAATAATTTAATACTCAAAGTAGACAATGCATCCACTGATTTCCGAATTTAAAATGCTCTCAATTTTAACACTGATAATTAGGCGTCAGGCACGAGAGAGCATGCTACTCTTTCGCGGAATTAACAAAAAGATTTTACTCAGAATATAAAGATCTCCACAGAATCGCGAACGCTGATAACTGATTGCTCAGTGTAATGATAGAAGGGTTCGAAGCCAGAAATGAAGGATATTTTGAAGAACGCGCAGGGCAATATAGCAATAAAGTATGCAGAATTTGTAACAATAAAATGATAATAAATATATTCTTTCATTCGTTTATATTATTCCGTACACGCTGGCTGACAAATTAACGATAATGCGTTTGTACAAAGCGTTAAAAAGGAGTTATAGCCCTTCCAAATTACGTTCTTGATATTAGATAAAAAAGAATTCTCTCTCGACGGTACAAGCTTCAAATTTTAAAATAATTCTACGAACAAAGTTGATACCGTAGTTAAGGAAATTAATCGTAATGATAATCACAGTGGTAGCCAACCGTGCTTAACGCGTAAACAGATCCGACCTAGAGCTCGACCACGAAAATAACGAGAATTGTTATGACGAAAAATTTTCAAAATTCTAGAATATGCAAGAATATTATCTGAAATCTAACGCAATCTCGACATTAAGACGTGCTACAAGAATATGACGCAACGATACAATATAAAATGACTTGCCTGTGGCCGTATAAAAGTAAAACGATATCGGGCGGGATGGCACGATCACGCACTGCGCGCTCACAAATGCAACGCAATTACTCAAAAATACTAGACTCAACGAAACTTGACATTATAATTGCGGATACATGCCATTCCTCTAGAAATCGACAGTTTATTATTTATCGATAGTTTATTATTTACAATACGTTACGCTCGTCTCACCACGGGATCCTCCTAGCCAGACTCTCGATTTTCCTCGACAATCTGAATTCCTCTGGGACGTTCCTCTCACGCATCCGCTAACGGATCCAGCAAACGAGAATGGATTGGATTGGATAAATCCGTATGAATTAAGTTTTCGAATCCGCGTTATCCGCGAAAAAGGTATTGAATTTTATAGAGACTGAATACACTGAATTCGTTTCTATACATCTAGATAAATATAATAATGTGAACTCTAGTGGATTCATATAGATTCAGAAATGAAATGCTAGTCTGCGATCCCAGAAAGTGATTTATCATTGGGAAGCACCAAGATGATCACAGATATACAATATGAATTGTTTTTTCTCAAACGAATCCTAGTATTATACATAGAGTATACAATATTACAGATTCACGGCAATAGAATGACTCCCGGATATAACCTGTTCTGTCGTGGTCAGAATTATGTCTAGAAATTACCTTGTCGCTGTAAATCTGCAATGTTACACACTCTGTAATCTGTATATCACATCGGGGTTTTTGAGAGGCAACGACTTTTGTATATCACCTCGGTGTGTGCTTTTCAATATCACTTGCCGAGATCTGTGACTAGCAGTGGGACTCTACTAGTTGGTGGGATTCCCATGTTAGACAATTCTTCAGTATCGCACGTTAAATTCAAATTACGAATTAGTCGCACGTTCATTGCGTTGAACATTAAGATATCAAAAGTAAATTATCAATACGTAATTAAGGATTCAATCGAATTGGTCGCACATTTCATTTCTACAGTGAGATACAGAAAGTAAATAACTAATCCATAATTACTGATTTAAGCGGATTACGGATAGAAATTAGATTTAAAAAATTCAAAAATTTGATTCAACATTACTTCAATGAATAATTTTCAACATTTTTCAATAATTTCTCGTTTACTGGAGACTTGCCACAACATAAGTATCGTACCCGTAAAGTAAAGTACTTTCGAGAACACGGCGACCGTAGGTCCACATGATAAGCCTTATCGCGCCCTAATTGGTCGCGAGCCATCTCGCGAGTCCCACGAGATCATATCCTTGCGTATGTTGGATATGACTTATAGTTGGCAATGTTGGCATCTTTATCAGACTCCCCTCTGAGTGATCCTTGCAGGAGCGTTCTTAGGATTCGATAGACTTCTTTTTCAGATGATCCCCGCTTCCAAATTCCTTTCTCAATAGAAGTTTTCCCACGGCATCAATAGTAGGGTCTTTCGCTCGTACTATGGCAGAGAGTGGCCAAGCCTTCATGCCGCTTCAATCACTCCCTTTAATAGTTGCCTGTAAATAATTCAGCGACAGGATGACAAATTCATAAACAGAGCATTAATTTAAAAATTCAGATCACGGTATCACCTGCATGCTATCCCTCCTCTGAATGGTCTTGTGCTTCCGATATGAATTTTCTATCTCCTTCCTTGCCGCCAGTTTAGATGGTGAAACGACGCTTTGTACAACAAATTATATTATATCGAAATCGCCGATCCTAAATAAACTGGGAAGCAATAATACTTCGCAAAATGTAACGATAAAAACCGCTCGCAAATCGCAACAAGCGCTGACACGCCTGCTCTCCGCGTCAGGAGGACACAGGACGACACTGCCGCGCTATTTTGGCCAAGTCGGGTGACCCTTAGACTAATTCTACAATGTGCTTTTTGTTTTCTGTTTCTTGCTATTTGTCTCTTGTCTTATTGACCAAAAGGCAAGAGACAAACAGCAAGAAACAGAGACAAACAGCAAGAAACTACAAGGACAATACGATACATACGTACATGAAAAATTGCGATCATGAAGAATTTTTTGAATTTACTCGAATATGGTCTCATAAATTTGATCAGACTAGTTGAAATGATATCATCATTTTTGCCAAAGCCTGAAAACTGTAAATGGAAACCTCTACCAGTAGGCTTACGTGTTGCTTTAACACTATACGTCATAAATTACATTTTGAAATATGTAATAAAATTTTTTATATGAAATATTTGTTAATATTAAAACTTTTTAGTTATTTTGCTTATAGAAACGCTGTACGTACACAATCTTGAAAATTTCAAATAGGAAAATCCACGATGTAAAATTATACCTGAAGTATGCGAAGTAATTTGGATTGCTCTTCAATCAACATATCTCCCGGTTAGGAATAATGAAAAATGATTTAGCGTAGATGAATTTTATTTGAAATGACAGCTTCCAACTATATCGGAGTAATAGATGGGAAACACATTAAAACATACAGTGCTCTCCAAACACTGAGTCGGACTTTTATAATTACTTTGGTATTTTCCTTTTAGCTATATGCGACGCTCAATATAAATTCACTTGGATTGATCAGTATGGTAAGTGAACAATTTTTCACTTTATTTTTATATTTACATTCAAGGAAATTTTATAGAATCGTAATTTTTCAATTATTTATTTTTCAAGCTTTATAAGCGATAGTGGAGCAGATCAAAATTTAGAAACGATTTGGTACGTGGAAATATCGATCTTCCTCCGCCAAAAAATTTATCATCAACAAATATATAATACCTATTTGTCACAAATTTATGGGAGATGAAGCCTTTCCTCTAAAAACATACCTACTTCGTCCATATAATAGAAAAGATTTGGGAGATGCTGAACGAGTGTTCAATTACTGTTTATATAGAGCGAGAAGAGTTATCGACAATGCTTTTGCGATATCAGTTGCTGGCAAATACTGATGAGAAGTATATGTAGCAATCCGGATAATGTATGTGTGTGTAACATATAATTAAGGCATACTTTAGTATACCTACATAATTATCTTATGACTTCAGAAAACGTATTGTCCAAAT